TAGATGAACACCTTGCTGGGGTCATTTGACCCCAGTAATCTTTCCTGCCATGGCAGGGGGTCGGACTAGAAGATCTACTCAGGTCCCTTCCAACCCTAGAAAATATGAAACTATATTTGCAGACACTCTGTTGCCCCAACCTATCTTCTCCTTCCATCCTCTCTCTCAAAGTAGCACACATAGCTGTGCACACATCCCTTAGTAGGCAATAGATCAGATGCTGCTCAGTGACACTGGTAAAAATAAAGGACAGCACCCGTAATGTCAGTGGAGTTATTCCCAGCTTGGCCTATACCAAGAATAGAATCTGACCCAGTCTGTGCTGGTATATACGGCTAGTTATTGTCTTCAGTGGGCATGGGAGAATATTGCAGAACCTTGTTGGGAGAAGAAGAAAGTGGACTGATTCATGGTATTTATGAAAAAACTAGTAAAAGGCACAGCTTACCTGGAGCTCTACTTTTAATGTCTGTGTTATCTTAAAACTAAAATTCAAAGCGAGGCTAGGGGAGCCCAACTCATACACTGAAACTAAAGAAAAAATGTGTACAAATCCCAGCCCAAGTATGACATGGTTTGGAAATGGAAAGCTGTCACCCAACATTTCCTTTCAAGGAAAAGGTGAACTCCTCAGTACATGCACACACACGTATTGCTTTGCAAGCTGGTCGTTTAGTATATGGCCCCATAGTTAAGCCCAACCCAACTTGGATAGCTCCTGTTAATGTGTAGGTGTCCCCCCACTCTGTCCCAATGCAAAGAACCACCATAGGTGGAAGAGCCTTGATGTGATAATGAGCCACAGTGAAAGATGTGGATAGAGGATCTCTATGTTTCATAGGCCAAGCATGACTTCAGCATGCTTTAAGAGGGCCTGAAATGATGAGCTGGGTGAACCTTTCTTTTAAACAAATTCCTGTTGCATGTTCCCAGAGAAGAACCGAAGTTATGTCATCTCCTCCTTCACCGAGATGAAAGCCTATGATCTACTTACCAAGTTTCCTGTGCAGTTTGTCGAGTATCCTGTTTTCATTGATGAGCTCTTAAGCAGCACTTGTCCTGTGTACCTGGCTGATGCATTGTTAGTAGAGCATGAGGGCATTCCCTCCCTGCCCTTCAATATAATGTCCTCTGGCAAGCTCTAGGGAAAGACAGAGTCCCTAGTGTTAGTCTAAAATGCTTGGATAGAACAGCGACAAGGATTTCTCTGGGTGATATATTTGATTGGATCAATAGCATAGTTAGGATAGAATTAGAGAAGTTTTTGGACGTAAGACATTCTTCTTCATGTTTTACTGGATAAAACAAAGACAGACATTACTTGCTTTTGGCCTTGATACCTTATTAACTCATGAAAAGTACCTAGAACGCAGATACCAGAGAGACAGTAATATTATCTCAGGGATGTGTAGCTCATGCCAAAGGCTCTCTAGAAGGTGCAATCAGGTACACCCAGTGCTTGTTCCAAAGCATGGAGCCTACCATGCAGAGCTGAATAGAAAGGCTCTGTCTTGGATATAACTTCTGATATTTATAATATGGGATGTTTCCAAGCATCCAATAGCCACTTAAAAGCTAAAGAAAACTATGATCTAAGGCTGCTTACAGACATGAAAAAAATAGAGCTTTACTTTCAGCTCAGTGCACCCTCACACCAAACCCAGCGTATGCCCAGAAGAGGCATTGAATTAGTTGGACTTGACTCACCCAATGTCTATATAGATTGTGCGCTTCAGCAGGGCTTTTTGGTGCATTTATCTAATAGCTGATTGAATCATCTTTAGATAAAAACATCAAAACGTCCTGCTGATGTGCCCAATCTAGACACTGGGGTGCAAGATCAGACTAACGCGCTTCCTCTTCTGGTCAAGCGCTGTTTGTTTGTTTGTTTCCCATGTCTGTAAGAGCCTATAACTGTGAGCAAGCCCCAGAGCACAGAGAGATCAGTAGTCTACTCTGGACCTGTTTCCTATAAAGTAACCACAGATGTAACAAGCAACAGATGAGCCGGATTTACCCCAAAGGCACCCGGATGGACTCATCCAACTACATGCCCCAGATGTTCTGGAATGTCGGCTGTCAGATGGTGGCGTTAAACTTCCAGACCATGGGTGAGTTACAAACTGTCCCAGGGCTTCTTCTAGGAAAGAGTTATGCTCAAATCCTGTGTTATTTCCTCTTCTTCCCTTTAATGGTGTTTCCCAGTACTGCCCTTGGTCTCCAAGCATGTTTGTTTTCTCTACTTCATTTCCTGTCACAATCTTCCTGTCTGACTTGGTGCCTGGCCTGCACCCCTTTTCCACAGAACTGGAAGGGTTCATACAGTCCTTCACTGCAATAGCTGTCTCTCTGGATGGACTCACACACATACTTTATGCAGTAGGTAATATCGTAGGCCAGTGCAATCTCATTTTTAATTCGTGTAGAGCATTCTGGTGCTGGAGGTCACGCCTTTCCCCTAAGGTAGCACACACAACTAAGTGCCAGTCTTGAAAAAGAGGAGCTGCCCTTTACCACACTCTCTGCTTTTCCCTCTCTGCTGCTGTATCCAGTGTGCTGATCTGAGAAGGGTGGGTTGCACCTTCTCTGTCCACTTCTGAGACCATCTGACAAGGGTGAAGCCATACAGAAGAGAGGCATCCAGGATCCCAAGTCTCTCCCTGCTCTCTCTGAGGATGCACAATGTGGTGGTGCAGGAGGAGATTTGTGGAATGTGGAGAGGAAAATTATGGGAGAGTGAAATGTGAAAGACTGAAGAGATTGTTTTGAATGTGGAGTGTGGAAAGAAGGAAGGGGAGAGTGGATGGCAAGGAAAGGAGCAGAGTACCTTAATATAGGAACAGACAAACTGGGATAGAGAGAGAGGGGAAAGAATGGGAGTGGGGGAGCTCAGGCTGAGGTAGAGGTACTGCAGAGGAGGCTCTTGGTCTAGTTTTGCTACTGGCTGTCTATGTGACCATGAAAAAGTCACTTCATCGCAATGCTTTAGTTTCCCCCTCTGGGTAACAAGTACTATGATACCTTTCCCAAAAGGAGGCTGGGAGGTATTTCACATTTGAAACATTGTGTGATCTCTGGATGAAAGATACTGTCTATGTGCAGCATTCCTGTCCATTCCTTAAAACATATCGTCTGTACTGGTGTGTTCTCACAGAAATTCCTCTCCCTGTGTCTGTTTGTCTGTCTCCTCCAGACCTCCCTATGCAACAGAACATGGCCCTCTTTGAGTTCAATGGCCAGAGTGGTTACCTCCTCAAACACGAATTCATGCGGCGTCCAGAGAAGCAGTTTGACCCTTTCTCTGTTCACCGTATTGACGTGGTGGTGGCAAGCAGCCTGTCGATAACGGCAAGTACAAACCACAGCACTGTGCATGCACAGGAGGGATATAAGTAGCGCCTATGTCCCCTCTGTTTATTACCCAGCAGGGCTCTTAATAGCAAACAAACCCATAACTTCATGTGAGAGTGTTACTATGGCAACTTCAAGGCCTTTCACTGTTTAAAATTAATCATAATCATAATCGCATGAAAATGGAAAATTAGCATCTGCCACAGGGAATGATCCATGGCTGTGATGATGCAGAGGGAGGATGGTGGAGGAAAAGAACAGAGACAGGTGAAGCTGGAGAGTGGGCTGGAGGAGAGAGAGAAGCGGGGGCAGGCAGCAGAAGAGGCAGCTCTGAGGCTGGAGGAAGTTTATAGGACGTTCCTACAGCTTTTTGTTTCTTGGCTTGTTCTTAGATTCTTTCTGGCCAGTTCCTTTCTGAACGCAGTGTGAAGACATATGTGGAAGTAGAATTGTTTGGGTTGCCTGGTGACACAAAACGCAAATATAGGACCAAACTGACCTCGACCGCTAACTCTATTAACCCTGTATGGAAGGAGGAAGTTTTTGCTTTTGAAAAGGTAACAACTCAAATTAAAGATCTCATTGACCACAGGGAGTGCTTTCTGGAGATCCCATGGGCTATATAGTCCTGAGAATTCATAGGCCCCTGAGGCTCTTTTCTGGAGATTGTAAGAGCCACACGTTCCTCTACAGATGGAAGGCTGTTGAGGACATTTTTGGAAATCCATGGGCCAAAAGGCTCTGTGTGCATCTTCAGCTAAATTTTCTAATCAGATTGGCCTTGAGAATCTCCAACCACAGGGAAACAAGAGAGGCAAGAGGAAATGCAGCTACGTTGTTGCTTCATAGTATGAGGAACAGTGATTTCTGGGACACGTCATGGAATAATGGGAAGTTGCAAGACAAATCAGGTTATGGACCCTGTACAGCTCTGCCCAGAAGTATTGATTTGGTGTTCAGCTATGAGGATAGGGGAAGGAAGCACAAAAGTAATAATAATTCTGAGCCTTGATATAGAGCCATACATGAGCAAAGACCTGTGAATATGTTAACTCCCATCTTCTCCCAGCACCCTTGTGAAAATAGGGGAAGCTTTTACTTTTGCCTTCAAGTTACATGTTACACTTAGACCATACTAAAGCTGTGAGATGTTAAGCAGTGTTAAAGTTAGAACATGCTGTGAGAAGTTGCATGCTAAGGGTTAATACTGTTTCTTGCCTGCACAGCTGTGACTTGCCACTGGAGGTTTGGTGAGCAGGGGTAGGCCTTGGAGCCAGGACACCCTGCCCTGGCTGGTGGTTGGGGGCCTGGGAGTGACGTACTGTACCTTGGGATGCACAGATTCACTGCAAATTGCCCTGTTATCTCAGCAGATTTGACAGAAGTTAGTCTAACACAAGCTAGGTAGCACAGCCAAGAGTTAACCTTCACCTGAAGTGCTGTAACTTTAAGACACTCAGAGGGCACTTAGCATGAATTAACAAGCTCTAGCATGCAGACGCTTGTGTTTTAAGTGCCCTTAATATGGTCTAAGTGTAACCTGTAACTTCACCTTTAGTGTAAGCTGATACTATCCCCAGCTTCTAAAACAGCTTAAGGGAGAAGGAAACATGCACTGACTTGCCCAAAAATACTGGGGCTAAGTCTTAGAGTTCAGGGTTGCACAAATGTAGAACTCTTGGTTCCAAAATGATACCTTTTATTAGACCAACTGAGAAATTGCAAAAAAAATAGCTTTTTCTGCAGTTCAGTGTTAGAGTTCAGGAGCCCTTGACTCCCACTCTGGAGGTCATTTTTGTAGCCCATAACGTCACAAAGTAGCTCTTGCCAAAGAGAGAGTAATTTCCTCCCATATTGGTTCCTGAAGTTGATTTTTCACATAGTGAAACAAGCACCCTGTTAGGAGTCAAAAGCATTGGGACTTTGACCTCTTATGCTTTCTCCACAGATTATGATGCCAGAATTGGCTTCCCTCCGAATTGTGGTTTGGGAGGAAGGGGGAAAGTTTGTTGGTCATCGCATCATTCCCGTTATTGCTGTACATTCAGGTAAAAGTGAAGCCTTTCTGTAGCACCATCTTCAGTGTCTGTTAGCACTGCCCTGGGACCATTTTGTCTCTGCACAGCACAATCTCAGCCTCAGCTAGACTGTGCACTAGAGCAGCTTAATTCTTCGGGGGCTTGGTACAAAGGAGGTGAACTATGCATTTCACTGTCTTGTCTCTACAAGATTCATCTGTAAGCAGGGGAGACCTTTCAAACTCATTCCAGTGGGCCCATTGTTTAAACAACAATTTCCTAATACAGCTGCATCCCCCATTCCCCATGTCACCACGAAGCTGCTGCATTCCCTGTTGGGCCTTTGGCCAGAAGGGGAGGGGACTCATTCAATCTCTTCTGCTTCCTTATTTCAGGCTATCACCATGTTTGCCTTCGCAGTGAGAGCAACATGCCCCTCACTATGCCATCTCTCTTTGTTTACCTGGAGGTAAAGGACTACATCCCTGACAGCTGGGCAGGTAGTGTATTGTGGAAACCTGACATAGTGTATCCTCTATGGAGCAGGAGCCCTGACTCCAAACTGTTGGTGTATTGAAATGACCCTGAGAAGTTGACTTTTATTCTCCCTCTGTGGGTTGGGATGATTTTATGTACTACTACTGCCCAACAGCCAAGAAAAGGATTACCTAGAGCAATGGTTCCCAATCTGTGGTACAGATATCACCAGTGGTACGCAGACAACCTGTCAATGGTATGCATTAACTGATTCTTATAGTTAACTTATATGACAAAACATATCATTAACTTATGACAAAAAATGACTGGTTGTTCTTAAAGCTGAACTGAAAACTTTGCTGGTGGTACTTAAGGTTGCATCATTTTAAATTGGTGGTGTGCAATCTATCAGAGTTTGGTAACCGCTTGACCTAGGGTATGAAAGTTGGAAATACTGTCAGGAAATATCTTTTTTTCCTCAGTTTTGAAGTGAGCTATTCAGGGAACATAATAAAGAATGCAAGTGTTGTCCTGATAGTGGTATGGGATACTCTCCCACTTAAAAATGGGTTATACAAGCAGTGGTGAGAGAGAGAGGAGGCCTCAGGAATGAAGAGAAGAATGGAAATCCCATTTTTTGAAGCACACAAGGAATCTTTAACCTGGCCAGGAGTAAAGCTGTGCAAAATTCAGCAGTTCTGACCCCACAGAAGTTAATAGAGACATTTATTTTCATTTTGATCTCTGGCTAGCTTATTCCTTTCCCAGTATGGAAGTCATTTAAACCCAAACCTAAAGGGAAACTCTTCTGAAATCACAAATTTCATATGAGTTCAATGTGGAGCCCCAAATCAGTCTGGATTCACACAAAATTAGGGTAGGCTGTATCAGAAAGTTTAGTGTACTCTTTACTAACCTTAGTTTGGGCTTCAGACTTGAGAACTTCTCATGATTCTCAGTTTTGTTGCAAGTATTTACACTTCTAGGTAGGGCTGAGGTGCAGTGAGAGACAAATGAAGGAAAATATATTCCCAGGACCAGAGAGTTGACCATCCCTCTTCATGGGGGATGAGGTTGGGGGTTTGGAAGTTATCAGGCTGGGCCTGAGGTGGAAAGATAAAACAATAGAAGAGGACCCAGCAGGGAGAAGGCCAGGAAGAATCCTGGCACTACCTGTGAGCAGGGTTTAATCAGGCTGCAAATACAGCCCTAAGGCAGTGAGTGCAGAGAAGGGATAGGACCAGGAAGGCAATCAAATGAGTCTTTTGACAATCTGGTGCTATTCTTTGTTTTTAGATCTAACTGTTGCCCTCTCCAACCCCATTAAGTATTTTAATGTCGTGGACAAGAAATCAGAGAAGGTGGAGGGCTCCGCAGAGGTGAGTATTCACAAGTGTTGCAATTGGACCTCGCAGATGCTGTTAAGTAATGAAATGGGATCTTGGACTAGTATCAGAGGACCAGAGATGACCAAGCAGGGTGCAGGGGCCCCGGGCAAATCAGCTGGTGCGCTGCCCCTGCATACCCGAGACACAAAGACGCCAGCAGTGGATTCGGCAGCAGGTGGTGGCGTGCCAAGTGGCTGTATGTGAAGCCAGCGGCTGTGGCACTGAGTCACCGCGGCTGCTCCACCCAGCTCTGCGGGGCCTCCCAAAGCATGTAGCACAAGGCAGTTACCCTGATTTGCCCCCCACCCCCCAAGAATGGCCCTGCAGAGGATTAACACAACACCTCATTCAATAAGTGACAGAAAGGCTTTATTTACTACAAAATACTCATGGTTAAATAAGCCCAAACCAAAGAAAAGCCCAGTATTTAGCTATAAGCTTATAATTTCTCACTAAACAGGCAAGAAAAGAGATGGTCTGCTTTTTCCAACTTCTTGAGATGGCTGGGGTGCAGCAGCAGCTCTTGTCAGAGAGATCTTTCATTCTTGAAGCGTGCACCCTGTTAGCCGTTTCAGTCCTCTTATACCATTTAGCTCAGCATCTTCGAAGCATTCTTGTAGTTGTGTAAATCAAGAGAGAGTCCCAAGCAATAACTGACAGGAACATCCTGTTAATCAAATTGCTCATTATTGGTTATCAGAAAGTTTCACTTCGAATGAAGTCCTAGTAAGTTTGTAACATATCAAGGAACTGATTAACAACCAGGGAAAACACAAGGTTTTGAAGAGTGTCCTTGGGGGGGGAATCAAGGGAACCACTAGACAAAACAAAAGTAAATTGGGAGGAAGTATCTATCACATATGGAGAATGACTCTTCCTGCATGCAACGGGTGCATCCAGACAAGCATAGTTGTGCAGTACATGGCACTGCAAAAGTGTTTGCAGTGCCACATACCACACAGTCCAGTGTTCTCCACACTGCAAGGGTACACTGCCCAAGTGTGTGCTGTGCCAGGTTTTTTCCCCCTACAGGTATCTTGTTTTTGACCCCTGGCTATCTAGGGGTCAAAAACAAAAAAAACCCAACAACAACAAAAAACCCCTGCGGGAAAAGAAAACTGCTGAAAAGCAGAGCTGGGCCATCCAGAGCTGTGCTGCAGCCCTGGGGAGCACCTAGGACCCCAGGTAAGGCTGCTGGGGCCAGCACAGTGCTGGCCACAGCCTCCCCTACCCCATCCAGGGCAACATGCCACATGCCAAAATGCACATGGCACAGGTGCTCCCCAGGGACAAATAGCTGTGGCACAAGGTGCACCCCTGCTACTTATCCCTGAGGAATCAAGTGTCTGGATATGCCTAATGTGAGCTGATTGCAAAAGAAATATTTACCATATTAATTACTCAAGGGTAGACATTTCACACGGTTACATACCAAACAACTAGGAGCCTGCTTAAAACCATCATAAATATAGTAATAGAAGCTAGAAGTGACATCATTATTTCTTCTCAGAAGAACCAGCTGCAAACTCACATCCTCTTGCCCTATGCAGTCAGCATCAGTGTATTTTAACTTGTGTGTAGGCCCCAGCTTGCACGAGTTTCAGAGTCATTGATGCTTCATGGGTTCAGTCTGAGACCATGTTGAGTGCTTACCTGTCTGGATTGTGTGAAAGTGGTTCAGTCTTTGAGGGGCAGCAGGGGCTTCAGTGCTTATGTTAGGAAAACTCTGATTCCTGGGGGCTATGCCAGATTCTTGGTATGATAATTATAGAGCTTACATAAGGTCTGAAAGACCATCCCCAGCTGTCTGGTGTTTCACAAAGCTGGGCAGATTAGGGCTGAGCTCTTGGGAGACCTCACTGTCTCAGGTTGGAAAGCACATTTTTTATTTGCTTGGGTTTATTTTTGTATTTTTTGGTCTTTTAGTCTGCAGCTCCATTTCCTGTGTCTTTCACTGTTGCACTGATTCACCTCTGACCTTTGTTTTAGAGGCCTAACATGCAGAGGAGCCTTATGCCAGCTGAAATCAATGGGATAGCAGATTTCACCATGAAGCTTAGTACCCCTTCTCCAAATGGACCAGAAGGTAAAGCTATAGATTTGAGTGGGACTCAGAGAATGAGAAGGGAAGATGACCATTGTCCAAATGTGAAAGGAGGGGATACCAAAAGGCATAGGGACTTGATTTTGGAAACAGAGCCTTCCAGGCTTAAGTCCCTTGCTTAAATTCAAACAGTGGTCAATACTGACCAAAAAGCGCTACCATCCAATGACTCTTCAGGGTCCTCTGTGAAAAGACTTGCTCTTTTCACTCCATTTCCAAGTGGCCAGTGGTATAACCATGCCAATTAATAGCATTGGCAATCTCAGTGGGTTAATCAAAGGTCCAGGAATCATGGAAAGAGAATTCTCTTCTTACCTCTAGCTGCCATCTCTCCGGGTCAGAGCTGAGACATATTGGTGCTGCACTAGGGAAGAAACTTACACTGTGAGCAAGGGCAATAAATCTGCCCTAATGATAAATAAGGAGTTAATTTGCCAAGGCTGAGGGTGCATCATCTTTTTGCCAGCAGCCAATTTGCTAGAAGATAAAATTTTGGAAAGGAGCAGAGATCAGATTAAGAGGGAGCTACCTTCCCAAGGTAAAATGGTTTCTCTTGTAATTAAGAACAACTACTAAAGTGAATTCATATTTAAAACAAGGTGAGCACCAGCTTTTATTCCCTTTACAGTAATATATCTAGGCCTAGGAGAAAGTCACTGGGTTTACAGCTGTCTAAATTTATGGCACCAGAACTGGTATTGCATTTTTCATTGATGCATGGCTTCCAACATGAGTCAGCTGAAATTCTCTCTTCTATAATGACTCCCCAACAATATATGCCCGGGATTCTTTCCCTTCAGAAATATATAAATACCAGACTCAAATGTTTCAGTTCTACAGCCATTTCCTGCCCCCCCCACACACACACATTTACATTAGTCCAAACCAACAATTTCAGCTACATTACTTCAGACTCTAATGGTGTCAAGAAGCAAATCAGGCCCCAAGCTCCTAGTGGATGGTAGGATTTGAGCTGTTCTGAGCAGACCAAATAGTAATCTGGCTACTCATATGCTGTCTGGCTTGTGGCAAGTATTTGTAACTCGGGCCAGTCCAACCATTAGGCAAACTAGGCAGTTGCCTAGGGGACCAAAATTATATGCAGAACAAAAGAACAGGAACATCATTCTAAATAACAGCCCTGGCTGGCTATGGCTCCACCTTGGTCTAAACCCTTTGGTTCGGTAACGGAAGAAAGAGTCCTGAAAAGATCTCAGAAATAAAAGTTCATTCTAGACTTCTTATTTTCCTCTGTATTGGAAGTGGTGGGGGTGCCGAGGTAGTTTGCCTAGGGCACCAATTACCTGTGGACCAGCCCTGTTTGTAACCATCATATAGATTGCAGTTCCAAAGTGCTTTCATTGCAGGTGAGAACATCACAGCCTAGTTAAATGCTGCTCATTTGATCTTAAACAAGGAGCATGATACAACAAGCCTCTCCAGTGGGGAGTGACAAGGCTACAATCCTCCCAGGCTTTGAGGCCTGGAAGTGCATCTGTCTGGGTTTCCTGAAAGTCTCGATTTTACTCAGACACCCCCATGGCACCTTCTTTCAAGCGTTATGGTGTTTGAGGGCAATTCTGGGAGTTACCGATTGCCTCTTTTGAAGTTCTGAGTGCTCTCATATCCCACTGAAGCCCAGTACCTCACATGACTGAGCCATTACTGACACTATGACATCGTATTTGTGACTTACTGAAGATTGTTAGATATTCTACTGATTGCTTCAGCTGACCTCTGAGGTGCCACCTAAAATCCATTAGTACATCAGGGTGCAAGGTTTCTTGAAAACCAGCAGAGATGGCAACAAGTGTACTAGATGCAGTAATGCAAGCCCCACCCCCACTCTCGGAGCCCTCACCCAAGAGTGGGAATGGAGGAAAACCCCAACAGCCCAGAGACGTTTCATGGTCCACTGCTCCATTTCAAGCCAGAAGTCCTAGAAGCATGTGAATGGGACTTCCCTTTGTGATTTCAGGAACCATGGCTGTGGGGAAGGAAGAAACTGTAAAGGAAGCTGCTAAGGAAGTTACAGGTAACTCCACCCTGCTTACTCATAAGGTTTGAGGCCCCAGTTTTATTTCATTATATAGTGGGGTGATGTGTCTGGTGTCCTAACACTAAATCCATGCTAATCAGTATTAACATCTCTATATACATCCTTGTGTGTGCGTATCCCACTGTAACAGGCTAGGACACCAGGGATGGCCATGATGCACGCTGCTGGTCACCCTGTGCCTGTTCTGCCCTTGGTCCCTTAAGCATTCTCCCCTTTCTGCTCCCCTGCCACACCTTAGTGAAAATAAGTACTTAGAAAATAAAGGTTGCCCTTCGGATCTGAGTGAGATCTCATCCACTCCTGAGCTTAGGTCTCAGTACTCAGCTACTTAGGGGCTTATTACATGGCTCCAACCATCCCTTACACCAGACCCATTCCTCACAGATGTCACCATCTGCCATCAAGCTGTCTCTCTATGCCCTCACCCAGGCACTTTGCCTAACTTGGCTACTCCTAGGTGCAGCCCTGGGTCCCTGACCCCAGTCTCATCTCTCCCAAGGCACTGGGCCCCTGATCCTGACTCTGCTCTTCTCTGGACTGTGGGTCCCTGACTATTGTTGGTCTCCAGCCATGGCCCTCCCAGCCATTGGTCCCTCTCCCTAGACCGGGTTAAGCAACCCCTCACATGTGTGCTGAGCATGGCACGCAAGGCCATTTTGTTCTGCACACCACCACCAGCCCAGGGTCTAAGCAGATGCTGCCAGCCACAGAGCCCAGGCTGCTCCCAGCAGGCAGCTGAGAGGCTGGAAGCAGACAGGGCTCCGTGGGCCAGCTGCAGCTGGGAGGCTGCAAACAGCTGCTCTGGGCTCCAGCATGTCAGCACTCCAGCACCCTCCAAGGTAGACATTGTGGTTTTTTCGGCACTGTGGCCAAAAACATTGCCTAGCCCTGCCTTAGACCCTGGCCCTGTTCCTAGGCCAACTAAGATCTCTGAGCTCCCTGGCCCCAGGGGTCTCCAGCTGTGGCTCCTCCTGGGTGCTGCTCCTAAGCCAATTCAGACCTCCGGGCTCCCTGGCCCTGGTTGCCCCTCCTGAGCTACAAGTTGCTGACTCTGCCTTTCCACCCCTTGCAGACTATGGGTCTCTGACCGTCCTTGTTCTCATGACCATCCAGCTGTGGCCCTGCTCTTTGGATTTGGCTCTTATCTTTCAGGCCCTGGCCCCACTTCTGGGCTGCTGAAACCACTTTACCTCCCCTCATTTCAGCCTTAAATCAGTAGTCTGCTTACCCAAGCTTTGGTGTTTGCTAGGAGCCTGGCTGCAGCCCTGCTGCTCAGCTCTTTGCATCTTGACTGCCAGGATCAGATTACTGCCCCAGCTCAGACTCTGGGCTTATATCCTGTAAGCCCTACCCCCTTTTGGGTCATGGGACTTCTGATTGTCTCCTGGGTACCTGCAGAGTGCTCCATTGCAATCTGTCTTCTCTTAAAGTAGCAGGAGCACCAAGCCTCCTGCTGCACCCACATATTAACGTACTTGAGATTCAACACGGGGCTCTTGTAAACTGTAAGCAGCAACTGTATGAAAAAGTGAGTCCATAGGTTCACTGATTCAGGCCAATTGCCCATAGCAGTATCAACCTCAGCCCAGGCAAAAGAACAGCAGAGAGCTTTGTCATCTTTTTCCCTTCTGACCCAGGTAGGACACTTTTTGTCTTCCAGCACAAGTAGTTGCAGGATGGCTAAGTTTATGCTCAGCTGCCAATGACCCAAGGAGACCGGGCAGTAGCTGTAAATAGCTGGAACACAGCAGCCACAGCTGCATTGATTTCCTGCCTCAGGGCATGTCCTCAACACATGCTCTGCATGAGGGGATCCTGAGGGAGACAGCCCAGAGCTAACACAGCTAGCCCTATCCTGCACAGGAAAGTTCCTGTGTTTGAGCAGTTCCAGATCTGCTGCCTGTGGCAAAATGTCACAAAACAACTATTCTGTCTCTCAGGAAAGCTGATGTTTTTACTGATGTGCATCCAAGCCAGGGATCCACCAATTGCTGTGCTGGCCTGGTGGTTGTCCTTGTGCAGGGGCCAGTGTTGGAAAAACAGCCTGAAAATAAACAGAAACAAGAATATGGAAGGGAAAGTCTCTGTATGGAAAGGAGGTGGTTAACCAGGCAATCAGGACTGCTGATTCATTGTATTTTAGAGCTGCAGACGGCCAGCATTGAGGAACTGCAGAAGATGAAGCTTTTTCAGAAGCTGATAAAAAAGCAAGAAAAGGAGCTGAAAGAGCTGGAGCGGAAGGGATGCAAGCGCAGGGAGGAGCTGCTGCAGAGATACTTGGTCCTCTTCCCAGAGCGGGGCAGCCAGAGTGGCAAGTGGAAAATGTGCTCTGGGAAAATCCCAAAGAAAAAAAGGTATAAAATAGTGCAAGGAACTACCCTGTGTTAAGTGGAACTTAGGAGACCTCGCTGTTCCCACACGCTGGAGTGCTTCCCACAGAGAAACAGGCCTAAGCCATGTGCTCCCCCCCCACCCCCCAACACAGGCACGGGCTGTCACAAACTTCTGTGGCTTTGCAGGGTATCGCATGTCCTGTCTCAGTGGGGTACTTCTTCATGCAACAAGAGGTGGCAGAGTATGGAGAATGGTTAGGCATCACCTGTGCTGCTACAGTGTCCATTATTCCTTTACCTGATGTTGCAGGAGTCTGACTACAGAGGAGATCAATGCAGGAGTGAATCCTGCTGAGATGGCAGACTGCACTGACAGCCAAGTCTTGGAACTGAAGGAGAGCCTGGAGATAGACCTCAACCAACTGGGGGAAGAGCTCTATGATAGCATTCGGAAGAAGAAAGAGCAGCATGCCACAGAGGTGAGGCCTGCACATGTACTTCTAGGGACTTCCAGACATGGTGGGACCCACCCAGGGTGTTGCAGCAATAGGAGTTATACCTCAGTTAACTGCCACCAGCAGAGCATTGTAGACACAGCCAGGTGCAAGGATGCCCCTGAACACATCACCAGTGGCACATGGAAACAACGTGACATTCCTATATACTGCTTCAGTTGTTATCAAAGAATGCTCAGGCCCTTACTGCCCCCAGAGGCACCATGTTCACACAGCATCCTCCCACCACACCCACTCTGGGTCCAGTTCTAGGGGCCTCCCCCTCTTCCTGCTTCTCTTGAGATATGGGAGCATTTTGCATTTGCCTTCTGTCACAGTCTCTCAGACTCTTACTGCTGTGGAACATACTCTAGAGGCCATCAATAGCTGTAATGCCCTCAGATGAACACCCACAGGCAGAACACTCCCAGAGAGAGAACGCCGGAAGTCCGAACACAGCCCAATGACACCACCCATGACTTCCTGCAAACTCAGCGCATCCCAGAGGCCCTACATAATGTGCACTCATTGCATCTACACTCGCAGACCAAAAGGTAGGAAACTGCACATGCAGTATAACCTTCAGTACTGTGACAAAACCCACAAAGACAGCTCCACTGATAGAGGCCAGCTATAGCCTGCCAGCACAGTTTGGTCCACAGGCATCAATCTAGGTTTCCATAGCCAGTGTTAGGTAGCTCCAAAACCAAGCTGATTAACTAGATAGTATACCTGATGGGCAGAGCAGGGAAGTCAGATCCTGACTGCACTGTTTTTTGATCCTTTGAACAGCAAATTGCCAAAATAATGGAGTTAGCCAAAGAGAAACAAGCAGCTGAGCTGAAGGCACTGAAGGAATCATCAGAAAGGTAAGCTCTGAGCATTTGAGCAGCAAAGGAATAATGCAAGCCTCTTATTCAATATAGGGCTTTTCATTAATAGTCCTCAAAGCATTGTGCTGAGGTTGGTAAGCAGTATTCTTTTTACTATACAAAAGAGGAAACAGAAGCACCGAGCAGTTACTTGACTTGCCCAAGGTCACTCAGTGAGTCAGTGGCAGAGATGGGAAGGTGGCTCAGGTCTCCTGACTCCTCTATTTTGCACTTTACAGGTAGTTTCACTTAGAGACATTTTAGCTGGTCAGCCTGTTTTAGCTGGCCGGCCCTTTTTCTCCTAGGGAGATAGAAATATAGGACCAGAAACAACTTCCTGGATCACAGGCACCCATCCCCTGCTGTCACAACCATCACATCTTATCATCCCTTTCATAAGCTGGTCCTGGTCCACCTTAAAACCAGGGCTGTTCCTTGCTCCCACCTCTCCTCATGGTCTAGGTCTGCTCCTGCCCCTCGCTCTCCTGATGATTAGCAGTTTCCTCTAATTTCCTGTGTAACTATATTCATGGCTAATTTGTAAGCATTTGTTTTTGTACTAGCACTACCTTTAGCTCAAATAACACCTCTCCCTCCCTGGGTTTAGCTCAAGTGTATTTATAGGCAGCAATTACATCAACTCTCACCCTTCGTTTTACTACCCTACAAACCAAACTCTTTTAGGCTTCTCATGTATGAGCATCTGTGTTCCTCTGCTTATCTTCATGACCTTTCTCTGTCCCTTTTCCACTTTGAATATCTCCCCCTTGAACATGAGTGCCTGGAACAGTTTCCAAATGAGCTCTCACCAGGCCGTATGTATAGCAGCATTAACACTTCTCCATCTCTCACGGAAATAACTCAGTGGATGCATCCTGGGATTGCACTTGCCTTTTCTAAGGACTACACCCCTGTCACATGTACAAGTGCCCTTGCTTATCTGCATCGTGTTATGAGCTTTATAGTCATCAGTCGCAGATGTCTGATTTTGTCTTGTTTTTCTCTTTGGTTATTTGCTATTCTAATTCCCTTATAAGTTTTACGTTATGTTCCGTGCCATATGTGTGTGCCTTTATTTGAACTTTTTGTGAGCTAGATTTCCATTTTTCCAAAAATATTTGTTTGCCTCCAGTAGCCTCCTTGTATAACCCATCTTTTGTTCCAAGTACTCTCTTGCTTCCTTTTTTCTTTAGGGGCATGAGTCTGTTAGGAATGTTCTAAAAGACACCACGTGTAACAAGGTGTTGAGAAGTAATGAGTATGAATTTGTTTGACTTACACATTAGACCTGGGTTATTTTCTCCTGTCTCCTGGATCTGACTCACCTTGGGTAAGGAGCATCTTAAATGCTGTAAACAAAAGGTCTTATTTTAATTTTAGGTCTTTTATGACATTTTCCTTCACTAACAAATTTGCTTTTCTGGGGTGTGACACACTCCAGGAGTTTATTTGTGTATCAGCCTGTATTTCATAGATCTAAAGTATGCAATGGGTGATGGTCTTCCCATCCATGATGCATCCCTTTCGCTACAGTGATATTAAAGAGGTGAAGAAGAAGCTAGAGGCAAAGCGACTGGACCGAATCCAAACCAAAATCCGGAGTACCAGTGACAAGGCTGCTCAGGAAAGGTACCACAGTGGACAATGCTGGGTGTGGTCTGCCCAAAGTACAGTCCATTTCTGGGGCAGTGCAGTGCACTGTAGCCTCTGTTGCCACTAGGGAGATTCTGAAGGTGGCTAAGTTGGCCATGGAAGGGAAACCTTTATATGGTGTTTTTCCTCCTATCTTTTATTTCATGCCCTCTTGGAGGAAAGCTCTGCTGTTGGTTGGTATGGTTGACCTGGCCTGCCTCTCCCAACTTAGCAATCACTTGTTGCCATCATGTCCTGATATACAGGCCCCTATGCTCCACAGGAAAAGTGTCTGCTCTCTAATGGCAGTAGCTATGTCCCTACTGCTGCCTGCATTCTGCTCTGTGGTACTTTCCTCCCTGTACTGCTATGTGCTCTCTGTGTAAAGGAGTCAGAGAAATCAGTTCTATGCAGTGCATAAGCGGCCAATCTCCCAACTCACCTGCGGAGCAAGTGTTTAGCATCTCTCAAAGCCAAGCCTAAGGAGTCCATATGCAGATACTCTGCATGTCATTAAAAACAGATGAAGATTTTTCAACTGAAATTCCCAAACCCTGACAGGAAAGCAAGCAAGCAGGGAGGAGAGTCTCCATATGGTATTTATCTCAAGGGTGATCAGCTGTCCTTGATTTTAAAAAAAAAAAAAAAAACAACCACAAATTCTCTTATTATAAACCCCAAAATCTGTGATTAAAATGAAACACCGCTATATATAGAGAGATATCAATTGAACACAATGTTTTATTGATATATTTACAATATTAAAGCAATTTGGTAGCCTACTCATGCTTCAATCACTATGATAAAATACGTTCTAAATACCTATATATTTTGGTATTGATTTTTATCATAGAAAATCAGAGCTCCCTCTGCCTTTGCTCACCAGGATGCAGGTCCAGGCCCCTTACTCCCCATCCACAGACCCCCAGCCCTGTCGGTGCCCCTGACTCCCCACCCCCACTCCCAGCCCCTTGGGCCTTCTGGTGCCCCTCACCTCCACCCACAGCACCCTGCACTCCCCCAGCCCTGCTGGAGGGAGCCCTCACCTGCCAGGCCTACAGAGCCAGGGACCCAGGTACACAGCCCCCTACCCCCCATAGCAGTGGCTGAGCCCCAACTGCTGCCTGCAGGAGGCAGCAGCTGGTACGGCCTCAGCAAGGAGCAGAGTGCGGAGCCCGGCTCCTCCTCCCCCAGGGGCCTCAGCACAGCCCATGCAGGGGTGGGTGCAGGGCAGTGGGGTGGGGGGTTGGCTCCCTGCCATGGTGCACACTCCCAGGATGTGGTGGGAGGCACGTGCCCCCCAGATCTGAATACAGGATGGGGGTGGGCTGCCTGCTTCAGGCTTGGGCTCCCCACCCTGATGCCCTTCTCCCAGGGCCTTGGAGCTGTGAGGGACAGCTCCATGCCACCACCCCCACTGCTGCAAGGTGCACAGGTTTCGTATCGCCAAGGCAGCACAGAGCTTGCAGCATCAAGGAGCTTCCCCGCCTAGCCCACTCTGCCCTGCCATGCTGGGTCCTGCCCGTTGGGCTGTGGAGACCCCAGGAGGAGAGCAGCAGGGTGGGGAGCCCACAGTGGGCAGCCTGCCCCTACCCCTGCCCCGCACACAGATTGGAGGGCACTGGTCCTTGCCTTTCTCCCAGGAATGCGTGCAGTGGCGGGGAGCTGTCTCCCCTGCCTGAGCCCACAGCAGCCAGCTTGCACCTGCCCCACGCACATATCTTGCTGGCCCCTGCCACCACTTCCCAAATGAGCCACCCACGGCTCCATCCTGCCCTCCGCTGGAGCCCTGCAGCCGTGTATTTCGGCCCCATTCCCCAAATCCCATGCACTGCCCAGCTGGGCACCAGCCCCAGCCCTGTTCTGCCCAACTCCCTCCCTATGGTGGCCTTAATTCCCCCACCCCCACTGCACTCCCAGATTTACCTGCGGGAACTACTCTCCAGGCTGCCTGGTGGCCATGTGCATATACATGCACATGGTGCCCCCTGCCCCATTGCCCTTCTCCCACTCCCCCCAGCCCCTTGCAGGCTGGAACTCTGCCAGCTTGCAGAAAGCTCTTTGCAAAAGAATAGAATCTACACGTTTCTCCACTTAATTGAAAAATCCACGTTTTTCTTGGCTAAAAGGGAACATCCACTTTTTTTTCCTGTGAGAAACTGAAAACCTGGATCCCTGGTTATCAGTATTGCCATCCATTTTTATGTTTCCCTTATCCTAGCTGATCTGTGCTCAGCTTTATTTAACCTCTTAGGACATGTCGCTACCCCTTCCACTGTTCTTCTGAGAGTACCTCCAAGAAGCATGCCCTGCTCATCGCCTCCACGCACACCAAACCTGGAAATGAGGCAGTGAAGCCACTCTGAGAGCACTTTCTGCTACCAATGCAAGCACACCAGAGATCTCTCTCTCAGAAGCTGGGGGGACCCTTAAGGCAGCTTTACTGCCTTGTTTCTGGGTTGAGCAGGTGGACATGCTTCTTGGCAGTGTTCTTAGGAGTGCTTTGGAGATGAGACAGACATGTCCTTACTGGGATGGCAATGCCACCTCTCTCTTTTAACCATTCTTTTTCCTATGTGAAGGCTAAGAATGCTTCCCTTCCCTAATACTCCTTACCTAGACATGCCCCACCTGGCTATACAAGCATCTCACACTAGGCTCAAAACCAGCTCCTCCAAAAAGCTTCCTGTTATAGTCCATGTATAATAATTTGTTAGCATCCCTCTCAATTAAAATATTTCTTTAGCTACTCAGTAAGATTTAGTGCCTGTTAGCTTGGAAGATAGATTTTTTTCTTATGCCACTTCCATTTATACTGCGTATGTCATAATAATTTGTACTTTATAAGCCCATTTTTCAAATTGCTACTTCCACTAGTGCATTTTTATACAACATAGTGTACTTCCAGGTATAAATTATTTGCCTTTCTATATGGATGTGAACAGCACTATATTAAATGTGATATTTCATGGTAATTTTATTGACATTTGACTGACGGAGGCCTTCTGTAAAGATAACAGATGAACAGGATTTATTTTATTAATAACTGCTGCTCTTGTGTTTTTGAAGATTAAAGAAAGAAATTAATAATTCACACATTCAAGAAGTGGTGCAGATTATCAAGCTGGTAAGTGTCTCCAGAGAAACTTGCTGTACTATCTTTGTTTTTGAAGATGATGGTGTGTGTATATATGAACTATGGCTATTTCATTTGCATGAGCCAAAATGGATTTCTTTGAGGTGGCTTATCCTGTCAAGCTGGCAGCTTGGAGTAAATGCATATTCAAATCCATAGTGGCTCTGGTTTCTGAGATTGTGGCATTTTTCACCCTATCTCACTAAAGATACCTACAGCCTCACCAGGGTTTCCTTAAGAGCTGGAGACAAGGCAACACAGGTGTGATTTCTCCAGGATTCTGCAAATTCAACCTTGTAGGATGCTGCAGAGAATATTTTTTACCACCTCCGTTCAGTGATATGGCTTTGGGCCCTGGCATCACTGCAGTGTTTTTAGTCACTCTCCATGGTTATAAATCTGTAGCTGTGGATCCTCTAGGGAGATCCTCCTCAGTCCCCAGCAGAGTTCTGCCTCTGATGAGCAGACACAGACCTGGTGTACAGAGCATGTTTATAGAATGAGTCCCCCAGTATTGAATCCAGGACTTTGAGTACTAAAGAAAAAATTCCACTGGTTGGATTAGAGGGAAAGGCAACACAGACTTGGCAAGTTACATGCAGCTTTGGCTATTCTAAACTTCCTCTGTTGTAGAGTCATAGGCCCACATTGAGTGTGTCTGGTGGCAGAGAAGGGTTGGGATTGTTTTACAACATAAATGTGAGAGTTTGTTTTATTCTTCTAAAGATGACAGGAAAGGCAGCCATACTTCAACAGAAACTGGAAAAGAAGCAGGCAGACTGTTTGCAGAAGATCAAGGAGACAGAAATCCAGGTAAAGGCAGGGATAAACCCAGGATTTTATGTGATTATTCAGTACATTATATCCTAGACTTAACCAGGACTTGGGCTATTTTATGAACACCCTTCAGCTATTCAGAGTAACATTACGTATATCACGTACCCCTAGTTCCTCTCCAAGTACATCCTATGCAAGTTACAGTGAGAAGCCAAATGATTTAGATGACTTGAAACACATCTCTGTCACTATGCAAGTTGACAAAGAATCCGTCTATGTGTGCTTTGCTGGCTTGTATGACCTGAGTTAGTGAGCTTTGTGCAACTTCCACCAGGCTAGTTTAAAAATCACAAAATGTACAAGTTAAACTGGCACCTTGGTTGAATAGAGTAGAGTAGAGACTTTTGATTTTGAGATGACCCCCCCACAAGCAGGGTGAGATAACTGAGTGGGATTGTGATGAAAATTAGTGCTGTCACTTCCTTGATGTACATGTACTTGAGCTAAAGAACTGCAGCCTCCTGCTCTTGAAATCCAACCCCTTGCACGGGTAGAGGGAGATAGTCGTGCTAGTGTGAAGGCAGACAGGGCAGGGCAGCATCTACGAGACCAGCAGATTCAGAGAGATATAAGCTTCTGTAGGCAACCAACTTATTTTGTAAGAAGCTATCAAAGTAGGCTATCACCTATGAAAACGCATGCCTCTCTGAACCATAGTTTCATAGTTTCATAGATTTAGGGTCGGAAGGGACCTAGTAGATCTTCTAGCCCGACCCCCCGCCAGGGCGGGAGAACAACAAAACCCCAAAACAAGAAACGGGACTCAAATGAGTCCAGCCAGGTAGGCATCCAGCAACCAGATAATCTCTAAGGGTGCTTACAGGCATGGGGGGGGGAACCAGTGCTTTACTTCCAGTTCAGTGTGCCCCCACATCGAACGCACGTGGCCAGAAGAGGAATCACATCAGTTTGACCCAGCTTGCCTAAAGTCTGTATAGCTCATGCACTTCACTGGGGCTTTTATCTAATAGCTGATGCAATCAGATCGAATAGGGCTCAATTCCTGACACAACACTGCTGCAAGCAGAGTTGGAAAAACTGAGATTCTGCCCTATTATGTTCAGTTCAGTTTTGTTCATTTAGTGATAGCTTTGTGTTCCAGCAGCCAGTGGATACTGGGGCTCAAGCAGCCTCATGCACTCCCTTGTGCAATCACATGTGCAGCCAGTTTTAAGATTGGGACAGCCATGCTTTAAATTACATCAGCAGGGACCAGCGGACTGTGGCTTGGGAATGAGGAACCTGGACCTGCATCCTGGTGAGTGAAGGGGGTAGGGGGAGCTCTGATTTTTCCATAGTAAAAAACCCAAAATCAAATAAGGCTCAATCAATATCCCTGTTGATTGAATCAACTATTAGATAAAAGCTCCAAAAAGCCCCACTGAAGTGTGAGAGCTACACAGACACTGGGAACAGGTCAAGCTGACATGATTTCTCTTCTGTTAAAGCAGTTTTGTTTTGTTTTTTCCATGTCTGTTAGCACCCTAAAATATCATTCCACTCTGCCTTCCACCCCTTTCACTAGCACTCAATTCACTTTCCCAATTGAAAATTCAATGCAACCCTGTTGGAACTGAACTTTGCATTTTCTCCTGTGTTACAGAGGTGAAACTAGGTCAAGTGTCATGCACTGAGTGGTTTTTCTGTTTACAGCTCCAGCAAGAGGCATTGGCAGAATACAAGGAAAAAATGAAAACCCTTAATGTGGAGGTACAAGATATGGTGAAGAACTATATGAAAGTCTGCTCCCCTTTGGAGCCTGAAATCAGGAAGGAAGAGGTCCTGAATGCCAGTGAGGGAGAACAAGGCATTAAGGAACAACTAGAAGAAAAGATCCCTGTAGCTGAGATGTCAAGGCTTGAGCTATCCAAAGCTGAAACTCAGTATGAGGAGATATCTGCACAGAACCAAGAAAGCAAATTCTGAGAGAGAATCCTCCTCGCTCTTCCATGTCTGGAAGAGTATTTCCAGCACTAGTGGGGTCTGTAGTAAAGCTATGGACATGAATAACCATCATATATAGGCAGAGCCTTTCCCTCCAGGGACTTGTATCAGTTGCTGAAATCCTTCAGAAATTTCCTACATTATTATCCTTCTAAATATGGGAGAGAAAAGGTTTGAAGGCATCAGCTGATGAGAGGCTAGATCTTGGTCATGTTGTGCATGACCTTAGCATCAGGGCATTTCAGCAGCAAGAAAGGCTCTGTGGCTCTCAGTTCTAACAGGGCCAGCTGTCCATCATTATCTGAGACTTCAGCAAATGTATTCTGTTTATAAGAGAGAGCATCACTTATGGCACCCCATGCCATATTCAAACAGCACATCACTTTCCTCCTCACAAACCTAGTTAAATAGTGCTAGTTGAACAGATTCTGGCCTGTTGTAGTCTTTCTGAGTTCTTTGCAACAGAGGACTTGCTCTATTTTTGTTCCATAGTCAAAAACAAGTGAAAGTGAAGAGCTGGCATTTTCCAAGGGTTACCCCAAGTCTGAAAAACAGGTGGAAAAACCACTACTGTAGACATTATTGCATGGCTAGGCTGGTGCAGCCCTCTAGTGGAGACATGGCATATGCCAGCACCAGTGCCGTGGAAAAAAAACAACCCACAACAAAACCTTAAGCCATCAGAAACGCTCAGCTATCAGCAGAGCTACATCTATATCAGGGATCTTGCTGATAGGCATGAAAACATCCTATCGTCAACATAGCTATACTGGCAGAATTGTGTTGCATAAACTAAGCTTTAGGGAAGAATTACAATTAACATTTTGCTTGTCCTGCAGTACAGAAGACCCCATGAACTGTACATAACACTGCCTCGCACAACAGCTTTCCCCCCAGTTATGCCACTTTCCTCAGTCATTTCTAGCACAGGCAGTTCTCTCAATGCCAAGTGGCAAGCCATACATGGCACGGTGTGTAATTTAAAGTACGGTCGCCCCAATCTTAAAACTTGCTGCACGTGTGATTGCATATGGAAGTGCATGAGGCTGCTTTAGCTCCAGTATCTACTGGCTGCTGGACCACAAAGCTATCAAGCACTAGATGAATAAAACTAAACTGAACACAACAGGGCAAAAATCTCTATGCCATCTCTTTTTCCATCTCTCTGCTTGCAGCAGAGATGTGTCAGGAATTAAGCCCAATTCAGGGGTCCCCCGTATAAACTAGAGTAGTGTCTGCCTGTGGGGCCTAGAAGCAGATGTAGCAGTAGTTCACTGCCTTTTCATCATGCTTCCACCTTGTCCCCAACCAGTACTCCATACATCTCCTCCCCAAGGCCTGGGCAGGGGGGCTATCAAAGAGCACTTACACCAGTTCTGCAGTAGCTGTCTATAGGATTTTTGTGCACGTCACCTTAGTTCTGTCTCTGGCCAGTGCACCCTTGCAGCATGATTTATGCACACCAGTTTTCATACACATTATCTTGTAACAGCAATGCAGTTAACTCCACTGGAAGCAGTAATTTTACCTTATTACATGATACATTGCGTTTCTGTTAGTGCTTTTATCTCTTGTTAGGTGACTCAGCCCTGAGAGCCATCTATTTGTAAACAGTGAGCATTAATTAAAAGCAAGTGGGAAAGGATATGATTTGGTGCAAAAAAGAACCAGGAATGGGTAGATTGTTTCTGTGGAGCTTCATGCAAAGGTGCACTAGGAAGATGACAGTGGTCAGCTTCTCCAGACTTACCTGTTCAGGATACAGTGGAACAGACTCCTGATATCTGTAATAGATGTCTGTTGCCAGCAGGTGCAAAGGACCAGGTCAGCAGCTCTGAATGCCCTGTCTGTTGAAACAATCCCCTAGAACTTAGAGCTGCCATCTTTAGTGTACCTTTGTGCTGCTGGAGCACAGAGCAGTCTCTCTCTATAGAAGCTTTATCTAATTTGAACTGTCTTCCAAGTCAAGCAAGAGAGGAACAAATAAGAGAATGTGCTTCTGGTTTTCAGAACCTTTATGCTTAATTTGATAGGCAACACTGGAGGGAAAGAAGAGGTATTCCTGACTAGAGAGATGCTACAGATTCCCACACACAGATTTTTATAGCATTAGATGCTGCTACCCAACATGATATTTGCCATTGTAGAACTGTACTTCTTAGGTTTATAGCTGGCCTGGTGTGGCAGACATAGGTAGAGCGGTCCTGCTGAAAAGAGTGATTACTGAATGAAAACCGTTGCACCAAAGTACTACAGTGATGAATGTATTTTAAAATGTAGCTATACATGCAGTTAGCTCAAAACAGATACCAAAGACAAGAAGGTCCTACTGTACTCTGATGTCCAGGTAAAGGAGACTTGTATCTTCCTTGTAGCATTGCATTGGCATTGAAAAATACACTGTTTTTATCAAAAGCTGAAGGGATTGTGCATTGTAAAGTTGTGATTTAATTTATTTTATAAAAAATAAAACATTACATTTCTATAAAACTTCTTACACCTTTTTTCTTAGGGCGAGGTAGGTTAGTGGGAACAAAATGGATAAAAAATGTAGCACAGTGCAGGTGGGTGACAACAGGAATATTAAGTTTCCATAGTTCTCTATTATCGATACTCACTGTTCTCAGCTACTTTCCTAATTCTAAACAAAAAGGGAATTATCAAGAGACAGGAAGGTCGCTTGATTAGTATACTTACTACTGGTGACAGCCAGACAAATTATGAGCCAGAGTAGAGATGTATTTGTTGCAGATGGCTATCAGCAAAGACACAGGGAAGGGTATTCCCAGCTGCTGGGTGGGAGGCACAGCTGGATGCTGGGCAGGGTGGGGTGGCACGTGGCTGAATGTGGAGCAGTGGCACTCCATCCCCACGCACCCGTGCATACCACCCTAGGGCCTTCTCAAGTACCCACAGGGGTACACATATCCCCGGTTGACAATCTCTGACTTAGATCATGCTAAAGTGCACTAAAGATTGTCTGCACATTAGAGCTCATTAACTCATGCTAAGTCTGAGGCCACATCCAGATGTGCATGGACATTTGAATTCCCAGGGACAACTAGCAGCAGCATACCTTGTGCCACTGCTAGTTGTCCCTGGGGAACACTTGTGCTATGTACGCTGTGGGGTGCACACTGCGCCATGCATGCATGGGGTAGGGAAGGCTGGAGCCAGCACTGGGCTGTACCCAACAGCCTCACCTGGGGGCCTCCCGGGGCTGCAGCAGCAGTGATCCTGCTGCACAGAGCCTGGCTGGCAGTGGAGTGTGGCTCTGGCCAGCTAGGCTCTGGCTTTGGGCGGTGCATGGTGCCACTATGTGCACTGCTCCACTTTTTTTTCCGGTATAAAAAACCCATCTGCACTGCTCCCTTGCAGCATGGAGAACAACTGAATGTGCACCACAGACGTGTCTGCCATGCTTGTCAACGCGGCCCCAGTGTCTTGCAGTTACACCACTTCAACCAAGGATTAACTCTGGGCTGTGCTACCTAGTTTGTGTTAGGGTAACTTCAGTCTGCTCCCCAAAGATAAAATGAGCAATCTGCAGTCCTTCAGCATCCTAGGATGTACTACTCTCAGATCCCCCTCACTCTCACCCAGAGCAGGACTACAACCCAGGTGTCCTTCTGGCCATGCCCCTACTTGCCAGACCGCTAGTGGCAAGTCAGAGCTATGCAGGCAAGAAATGGTATTAACTCTTAACATGCGACTCGAACACCGCTTAACATTTCAGAGATTTAGTATGGCCAAATGTACATGTAACTTCACCCACAAAGTGTGTCGAACAAAAACAAACCAATAAACAGAGATAGGAAAAGCCACAGCATACATAAACTACACTGAAGTCATTGTTTCTTTTCTTCACCACTGATTGCTCAATATACCCATATGATAGAAAATTAAAACTGTAAAGGACCTTAGGAGGTCATCTAGTACAACTCCCTGATCAAGGGAAGATCATCCCTGTCTAAGCTACCCCAGCCAAGCATTTGTCAAACTTGCACATCAAAACTTCCACAGATGGAGATTCCACAACCTCTCTAGGTAGCTTGGTTCCAGTGCTTAAG